CCCCTTGCTCGCGCAGAAAACGCATCTGAGGGGGTGTAATTTAAAAAAAATTCTGGGGGAGGGCCCCCCCTTCGCGTGCTCGCAACTTTGGCTTACGGTTAGACCCCCCTGGTACAAATCTTGTACACGCCCCTGCCGAGCAAATTGCCAACATTGAAAAACGAACCCCCCCAATATAAAGCTGGCTACGGGCCTGTATGTACATACATGTACATCGTGTACATGTACATGTATATGTATTACACATCTGCTACAAATGTAGGGGCCTATATTAAATCTTAAAAAAAAATTAAATTCCTATTATCTACTTCTGATGTATATGTATATGTATATATGTATGTATGTATGTGGCGAGAGGAGAAGCGACCCTCACACACACTTAGCTAAGTGTGCAGCTGTACGCGCAACTCTCACGGCGTTCTAAAATCGTGAGCGAAAATATACGCTGCCGGGCAGCGTACAGAATCGCTTGTGTTTCCTAGGCTTAAGCTGGGGGCACACGAGCGTATTTTTTCGCCCGATCGCGACGATTAAAATCGCCAGCGAATTTATATGCCCGATCACGAACGGGGGACACGTAGCGAATTTGAGAGCGTACGCGTACGCCACTCGACGGAATCACATGATCGATCACACGATGCATCACATGATATCAACAACACGTCCGATTGGTTTAAAAAAAATCGATCGCTCGACAAAATACGCCGGACACGGGCAGACAAGCGAATTTAGCGAATTTGCCAGCGGATCGATCCGCCGGCGTAAATAATCGGCCGAAAATATCTAACATTTTTTATACGGGCGATTCGTACGGCGTTCGTACGGGCGTACGAAATCGTCGTCGACGTGAACGGGCACACGGGCGAATTTTTTGAGCGATTTTAAAATTCGCCGCGATCGGGCGAAAAAATACGCTTGTGTGCCCCCAGCTTAAGGAGGCGCGCCCTCTTAGGCCAACGCGTGCCCTCGACAAAATTATTATAATAAATATTATTATATTATTGTATATGTATAATAACTGCGTTCACACGAGGATTTCAGTACCGTACTTGAGCGTTCACACGGTAAAAATATACGCGGCTTACCGTACTGAAATACGCGTAACCGTACCGTACTGAAATACGGGGCTTACTCGGTGCGGAATGTGATTCCGCGCTGAAACATTCGTCACCACGCTGGCCGCGTATTGTCTGTCGTGTGAACGCAATTAATATCAGGGGTTAATAATGACAAATTGTGACAATGTGTGACAATTGTGAAAATAATGACAATTTGTCATTATACGCTCCTGATAATATATATACATATATGATTTTATAGCATGATGAAGAGAGATAGTTTTCGAAAGCTTTAATACTGATAAAATTTGACACCCTATGCTATTTTTTCTACATTTATTTACATATCTACATCGGTGTTCGTGTGCTTATACTTCTACGATATATATATATATATATATTTGTGTTTGCGTATGTATGTATGTAATATATACCAGGAGTTAATGATACAAATGTATCATTAACTCCTGATAATACTTATATATTCATTCGGACCGAGTGAATGTTGCTTGAACTTCACATTGAACAACGTCAGCCCGCTGAACGCCCCTTCTGTTCAATGTGCGAAGCGACGTCGACGGTCGGTTACATCGACGTATTTACGAGGCTGAAGCGTGAATGAACATTGCATTGACGCAGCTGTCGTCGCTGGATGAACACGTGGCTCTTGCATTGTGAGCTGTAGTGTAGCTTCTGATATGCTTGATGGCCAGTTTCGTGCACGGAGGGATAAAAACTGGTTTGTCGTGACTGGTTTTGGTAGCATTGCAACATTAACTAAGCAGAAAATTGAAGGTTCAAAGTAAGAGAGAACGTGTTAAAATAACAGCAAACGGAATATATATATATATATATATATATATATGTATATATACATACACACGCGCGCGCATGCAAATAATGCACGTCTATGAATGCAGGTGATTGTGTCAGTGTGGCTCAAGCGGTCGTTGTCGTATCAGGTACTACAGCTCATAGGGTCTATGTCCCCCAGGGTACTGCCGGAACGTACCCTGGTCACTATTTGATATGGTTAGGGTTAGGATTAGGATTAGCGTTAGGGTTAGGATTAGGGTTCGGGTTCGGGTTAGGGAGTAGGCGTAGGCGACTCCCTAGATACAATAATGTAACCCAAACCCAAGAGGATAGGGTTTGGGTTACATTATTATAATCTAGCGACTCCCTAGACTCGTTAGTGGAGTAGACGAGGTACGGTTCGGCATATTAGATAGTACCAGGGTACGTTCCGGCAGTACCCCGGGGGACATAGACCCTCTTCTGGCCCAAGGATAGCTAGAGAACATGCCTTATAATAAAACCAATGTGCCTAACCCTAACCATAACCCTAACCTATTATATTGATATAATATTATATTTATATTGATGTAAATGACATTGGTTTTATTGGGGGGACCCATGTTCTCTATCCTTGAACCGACCCTCTCAGCCTCACTACCTGATACGACAACGACACCATCTGCGTCAGTGTGTGCAGCGGCAGCCAGCGTTTGTTGCAGATGAGCATTTGGACGGCATTTACAGAGGTGAAAGAGAATATAGAAACATTAAGACTTTGGTAGTAAATAGATTTCGTATTTATTTAGCATTATATTTTACTGAAACGCTCCAAGTGCCTGTGATTACCACACTATCGAAGTCCGCCAATATTTGTCACTAACAAGTTAACAACTTACAATGTTGCCATGGAAATGACATCGGCAGCGCTCTTACATCTGTGCATGGTGGCGCCGCCCAGCGAATGTAGCGGGACATTGCAATGCTTGTACAGGCATTGTGTACAGGTGTCAGTGGCAAACTATGAACATGTATTTTCTACATAAAAAAAATATATGTCATTAATTTTAATACTCCGGTTGATGTTTAACAGTAGATACGGAATTTTAAAAAAGAACAATAAACGAGCGAATATAATGAATTTTTACATCCAAGTTATCATCGATACTTAACTTACTCCATCAAACATCACTCGCCACCTGGCAAGAAATGCTTCAGCCAGACCCACTACTCGTCAAACCCATGGACTGAATTATAATGTGATCTGTCCCAACAAACACTGTTATAGATACTCTCTTTATCCCCGGACAATACCAACATGGAATTAAAATCATTTTTGCCGGAAATCGGTTTAGATGAAGACCTGTTAAAGATTGTGCAGACAACGGATTGGCTCCTAAAAAACATTTCGTCAGTTTTACGTAATTGATAGACTAGTTTGATGTAGGATCAAATTTTGCAGTCTGTACTAGGTATTAGACATTTCACGCATCCTTTCACGATGTAGTGGTTCTGTCATGTCATGTCATATACAAACAGCTGACACTCGCTCTTGCATATAAACATGTTACCTCAGGGAAAAAATCGTTGACTTTCAATCACCTTCAGACTTTCTAATGCTAATAACGTTGAACAGCGGCAGAGGACGAGCATAAGCTAGTTATTTACAATGTTTCTTTTAGTGGAGTTACGTTTTTAGTACTCAGCTCGCAAAGGTCACCTTGAGGATATTTTGGCAGCATTACAGAGAACGAGTGTGTACGTGTCTTCATCGGTCTCTCCGGTCTCAGCCGGGGTTAGGAATCAGATCGCTTGTTTAAAATCTCACATTGGTGTTTTAATCTCTAATGAGTCATGCATGGCGATGGCTCTGTCGTTGTTGCTAGCAGGTGTGTGCGTACTCTTATAAACAACAACAACAGCAGCAGCAACAGGAGCAGCAGCAGCAACAGCAACAGCAGCAGCAGCAACAACAACATCAACAACAACAACAACAACAACAACAACAACAACAACAACAACAACACCAACACATTCGAATGCTGGCATGCTTAGCTCCCCGTTTCTAGTAGCTATCTTTAAACATTCTGATTGATTGGATCATAACATGCTAAGAGCTCTGACTTTCCAGCATAGCTTTAAGCAGAAAACCGGCTTCAAGGCTGCTATCTATCTATGTCTCGTTAATTACTTTTGCTATTCTGTGCTCAATGTATAGAGAATATGAGGTGATCTGATCTAAATAGCGCTATAGATTTAGACGTTTTGCTAAATTAAAAATTCTGACCACTGATAGAACATTTATAAGCTTTGACGTTAACTAACGATAGAAATTACACAAGAATTTAATTAGTCGCCCCGATAAACGTACATATGCATTGGGCGCTTTAACCTGCTTTTAGGTGGTCAGATTTGAGGGTTTATGTTCCAAGTGAACGCCGCACAAAACTGGCGGCGCCACTGCGCACGCGGCTATGAAATGTGTGGCCAGCCAATCAGATCAATGCCCTTTACAGCTAGATTCTGCACGCGTATTGTTCATTATGTTCACGCCTGCACCATTCAATCCTGTGAGAATGGACGCTCCAGGAATAATACCGGTGAAAATCTTTAGTAATGGGGCCAAGTAATGTCTACCTAGCAGTGATCTTTGCAGAAGATTGCACTGGAAAAATAATAATAAGATTTTTTAAAGTAAAAGAGTGAAGTAGAATTAGAAAATTAGTATTATTCGTGCAACAATGCGGTTAATTTCCGGTGAGGCAGTAAATGTTAGGATGCAATCCGAGCGCATATCAGCCTATATGCCGGATGCCGCCAAGTAACTGCAGAAGAGAAGTGGATTCTCGCTAGGGCTTCGCAATGGTATGGCTATTGAATAAGGCCTCACCGGGATATATCTAGGCACTCCAGTAAGTTGACATTTAGTCGTGGTGTTTAATAAACCCAGTGTACTACTTGCTGCGCGTGTGTGTGTGTGTGCGTGCGTGCTGCGTGAGTGTGCGTGCGTGTGGGTATGCGCGCGTGTATACGTGTCGCGCGTGTCTATATTGCGCCACCCTATTGTCAATACGCACTGCCAAGTTGCAGCTGAATGTAAAATATTCGGTCATACACCGCTGACGTCCTTTTTCTGTAAATGGGGACCGTGAGAGAAATTACCATTACCTTTACATAATCGCACGAGGAGGGTAGAGAAAATGCTCTCCGAACAGGTTTATAACCTGGGTGCGTTTTTATGAATGAATAAGCCCCCACCCCCCACACACACAGCCCGGGGACCGGCTGCCCGTATCAGGTCTAATACGCACGGCACTATTCCTGTTGCTGAGGAAAAGTTTCAGTCTGAGACTGCGTTTGTGCGTGCGTGTGTGTGTGTGTGTGTGTGTGTGGTGCGTGCGTGCGTGCGTGCGTGCGTGCGTGCGTGCGTGCGTGCGTGCGTGCGTGTGTGTGTGTATGTATGTTGGTGTGTATTTGCGTTCACGTGTGCGTGTGCGTGTGCGTGCGCGTGTGCGTGCGCGTGTGCGTGCGCGTGTGCGTGCGCGTGTGCGCGTGCGTGTGCCTCGGTGCTCAATGGCGCAACGCACGATAATGTAAAATGGCGTTCGTGCAGGCGAGTTATGTGTGAATGCCCCGGGAGAATGGCGATCAAGTCTCAATGGCTCCTCGTAAAGTAGCCGACAGTAGGCTTCAAACCAAGGCCGGCCGCGACCAGCAACAGCGATCACCATCGCCCGTACAAAGTACCAATGAAATCCTTCCTCGATTACAAATGTATTTCG